TATGTATTTACTTTTTTAATGTTTCTAAAATTATGTAAAATTTTTAGAAGTCATCAAATATAATATTAAAAAGTTTGAAAAAACATTTTAAAACAATGTTGCTGATTGAAGTTTCATAAATTGAACAATGAATTGTGTAAGCAAAGGCTGTAAATCTCAAATATTGTATAGTTGAATGGTAATTACTTTTTTTGCTCTGAAACGCGGTAAACACTGTAAAAAACCAGCATGCATTTATACATGCATATAACAATTAATAGTCATTTTGGTGATTCAAAGTTTTCATTTTATTATCTCTAGAAGAAAGTTAACATCACGCAACTAAGCTATAGTAAAAGTAGGTAATATTTCAAACTAATGAGATGTACGACTACTCTTCGAAATTCACTTTAGTAAAACGCCAATTCGCAAAGTTGTACGGTCAAAAAACATGTTTTTTTTTTTTTTTTTTTTTTCCTCTTCGGCTTCCCTCTGTAGTGGTAAGCGCACGTCGTGAAGCAGACAAATGCAGTGTTTACTGAGCGGCAGTAAGCGATCACGGAAAAATCATCGAGGTCTCGGCAACTTTCTTTGCTAGTTGCGCAGTATTTTCCCTCAAAAAGTAAAAGAAAACCAGCCAGAGGCGCAATGCCTTGCCGCGACTGCTGCAGGCCATCAAAGGAGAGTCGATTGATGGACCGGATTACCTTTCCATTGCATACTTTTTTTTTTTCAACCAAGCGAATGAACTTAAGCACAGCAGTCATATGGTATTTGCTTAATGTAACGATGATGTGGTAGATGTGTATATAAGGTGCATATGGGGTAATTGAATTGTATTCGCTGGGCGTAGAGATGGTGAGCTTAGGAATAGAGTAGGAAGTGATACCAATATAGTCATTCGATTTTAAGTTGATTTACATGTGTATACTCAGGGTTTAAAGCTTTGTATTTTTTTCTCTCATTCCATTTTTTTTTATTGGTGATACAATTTAAAGCATAGGACAACTTAGAAACGAGGAAGAGGTTGTCATCGCCAGTTTGGTGATCCACGGGTCTAAATCCTGCAAATAGCTCCAATCATTAAATTTTCCTATGAAATTTATGTATGTTGTAACTACCTCATTGAAGTGACTACAGTATGCATGCGTATCTATTTGTAAATCGTTATATTTTAGCAACCATCTACCAATGTATTTTTTACACTGCTTTGCACAACCCAATAACCCATCAATCTGTAGACAATTATACTACTTAGAAAAAGTATTGGTTCACTTTTATACAATCTGCATCATCGTATACAAGCCCATTATTATAGTTTATAATTGCAGATGCATATGTTTGTTGTATATCTATTGCACGCATATAAACTTACGTAGATGTTACAATGACAGACGCGGACGCACTCTCGTACTCCCACGCACAACTTGCGACATAGGCACCTTTCTTGGAAAACCTGAGCGCTAACTTTTATTCTTAAAATACATTTTTTTTTTTCTCAACCTATTGAATGGACGACAAACGTTTCAAATGTTTATTCAAGAAGAAATAAGAATACATTAATAAACACGGGAGGGACTCAGAAAGAAAATCGAGTAGTTTTGAAATCTGTGAAAGACGATGGTGTTAATAAATAAATCGATCCATTGATTGAGATTAGATAACCAATATCAACTTAATAGTGGAGTTTTGGTAAGAAATCGTAACAAATATATATATATACATACATCTCTTATTTGAACACGTGCGAGGTTTCCAGTATAGAAAAAAAGTAGGTATATGTAGCCTACTATCAGATTACGGGCGGTAGATGGTACGTATAAAAAAGTCCCTGTAGTGCGTAGAAGCTTATTAGAAGCTAATTTTTAATTTACACAGATGTCTTGACAATTGTAAGATATACAAAGTAAGTGCCCGACACCGATACTGCGTCATCCAATGCATGGTCACTACTGCTATATTTTTCAAAAGGAATCAATTGTTGTACCTTTACGATTTTGCTTTTGCACGATTTTGCCACTTAATGATTATGTTACACATTTGTCCGTATTATTTTTTACATCATCAGTCTAACTTTTCGACGTTATTTTCATTGTTTCCAACATTAAATTTTTCTTCCCTTTTTTTCAGTCAACAAATGAACGTTTTCTCTTTTTTCCCTGTATTAAAATGCAAGGATACTTCATCTTTTTTTTTTTAATTCTGAACAAATAATTTACGTAGGAGAGTCAACTTTTTTTTACAATTTTACAGTGGAAAACATTTTTATTTAATTACGACAAAAAACGTCTATTAAATTATTTTTCGATCCGGTAACTACTTATCTTTGGTTTTTTGACATAAATATATTCGCACGAAAAAAACGACGATGAGTTTAATTGCTTTCAAAATTTATGTCAAGCTCGTGGACAAGCAATATGGACATGTCAACCCTGTACATCAGCAGGCTAATTTTTAATTTTTTGAATAAATATGATTAAATGCAAAAGTGAGGAGTGGATATAGTTTTAAAATTTTTTGACCCAAGAGAAATGACAGTATTTGCTTAATTAAAACTCGTTGATTAACGTACGTAGTAGTTCTCGTCCCCGCGTATATATAACGTACACTCTCTGCAGAAACTAATATATATATACACACTGCCCTGACAATGAAATACACCAACAAGTGACCTACATTTTATTCACCTAAGTACACGTTGTATAAACTAAACGATTACCACCACCACGACGACTGTTATAATATGATCGCTTGTAATAAAACCACCACCATCGGCATGAAACTGCAGTTGAACTGCCCGCTATACGTGACGCGGGTGACGAGCAAATCGGCGGCCGACATAATATCGGCGAAACGGGCGGACGGGGCGGCAATATTTGGCGAGCCTTTGGCCTCGAGTCTCGGCATCGACGGGGCCGAGCAGTACGGCCGCGACGCAGCCAAGGCCCGCAGGCTCGTCACCAGCCCGCCCCTTAGGCCCGACCCCACGACCCCGGCCTATCTCGTCGAGCAGCTCGCCCAGTAAGTACTTACACACACACACACACGCCTATACATATTTCCCTGTCAGTACCTATATATACTCGGGTATTGGATCACAAGAATTTTTTATCATGCGTATTATATGGTATTGTCGAATTACACCTCCGTCCGTTTCTCAAGTTCAACCTTATTACTATATGTAATACATACTTGATATTACATGTACATCAGGAGTCGTTAGTAGTTGCGTCCAGTATATTTATGTTTATAGATTGTTGATGTACGAGTGGAAGAGTTGTTGATTGAGTTTTTGTTTTGTGGTTGAAAAACTCGTTTTGATTAGGGGCGTCATCGAAGGCTTTTCGAAGCAGGTGTAGGTGAGAGGGTTTAAATTTTGTTTTTTATTTTTTGGGGGATTTAAAAAAATATTTAAATATAATTATACTATTAGTATTTTAGTGTTCCTTTCGTACTCGGATATAGGGGCTACATTGTTTTTTCAGATGACAGTTCTATATCTACATACATATACATTCAGTTTCTTTACAGTCCAGTCATCGATGTCCATCATCTGTTGTTCTCGTAGAATTCCATTTAAACTTGAGGGCAGTTTTGTAAGAAAAATATCTTTCAAGTGCGAAAGACGGGTATCATATTGTATACGTTGAAAAATGTTATTATTGTTTCTTGCTACGTTGCATACTTATAAAGTATCAATTAAGAAAAAAAATATTGATTAGTAATTGTAACTTTTACGTAATTCTGTGTAACTTCAATTCAAATAATTGAAGACAAGTTGTGTATTTCGAAATGACTGTTTCACGAGCGGGTACTTTGGATGTATGCACGTAGGGCGAGATGTATAATTAATTATATGTTTAGTGAAAGTGAAAATTTGTAAATCAGCTGACGATTGCCGTGACAAACGATCAATTTAACTGGATCTTTAAATATAATACTACTGTGGAAGTAGTAAAGAGAAAAAAAAAAAAAATATGAAAAAAAGTACAGGTTGGTATACTAATTTGCGTTCAACTCTGGTAAGCAAGAATAAAGGCAGGAGGCGCGCTAGCTGTTTTACGATGTTTACGTTTTCTGAGCAAACGAATGATAGCCGAGTAGCGGTACCGACCCCGGTTAAGCTATACGTGGCGAAAAAGTCATTTCTGAAGACAGTCGCGAGACGTTTTACAAGATGTTCAATGTACAAGAAAATTTGGATGATTTGTTACGTGACTATCTTTTTATTAGCAATATTCCTAAACCTGCAAAATGGTAAGCTTTAAATTAAAAAAAAAAAAAAAAAAAAAAAAAAAACACCTGAAATACTCCTAATGGATCGCTTAGGTTTAAATTTCAATAATTAAAGGATTGATTATCAAGTCACTCGAACTTTTGGGCTTTTTTTTCCGCACACCTGCTAAAAATACCCACACAAATGTACGCGTGAGAGCTGTTGGCGCAAGAAATTGTTTGTTTTTTGTTCGAGTATCTCTACTCTCTCTCTCTCTCTCTCTCTCTCACTGTGTTTCCTTTTTCATTCGAGAGATGCACTTTCGCACGTGTTACACACCGTGAAACCTGTAGTACCTGCATACCAGTTCGGCCGACATCCATCGGGTATAGTAACAATTAACGTCTCACTACCTTTTTTTTTTTTTTTTTTTTTTTTCTGAGTACAACGTCCAGAACAGCTTTTTCCATTGCAACCCCGAGGCTCTCTTTCTCTTTCAACTTTTTCTCACTCACAACAAATAATTGGCCAAGTTTCTCTCTCCGCTTGATTCCTCTTTGGGCTCGATGCATTGTCGAGTGGAATATCGATGATGGTGCATGCATCGGGTGAAACCGGTGATGGGTGAAAACCTATGACTTTTCTTTTCTTTTTTCTCTCCACGCTTGTAAAGCTAACGGAGGGCTGGATTGGGTGGCATCAGAGTTCCGTGCATTTAGTGACTTACAAGAGAATCCATAAAGTGTAGATGTTGTATCGATGGATTATGATGGGACGAGGGTTGTGACGTGTGAATGTTGATTGTAGGGACGGGCTGCAGGTGACCGGGAGCGACAACTGCACGTTCAACGCGGACCAGAAGGCCCTGGGCAAGGATGACTTTTCCAAGATCCCGAACGGGGTGAACGGCGTGGAGGACAGGCTGTCCGTCGTTTGGGAGAAGGGCGTGCACGCGGGCCTGATGGACCCGACGCGTTTCGTCGCCGTCACCTCCACCAACGCCGCGAAAATCTTCAACCTGTACCCCAAAAAGGGGGTCATTGCCGTCGGCTCCGACGCCGACATCCTCGTCTGGGACCCGACCAAGAAGCGCACCATATCAGCCGAGACCCACCACCAGGCCGTTGACTTTAACATATTTGAGGTCAGTGAAATGCAACGAAGCCAACAAACATGAATACTACTATTTACAATATTTGGATTTTTTTTTTTTTTTTTTTTTTTTTTCACGCATATTTATATATGTTAAAGGCCAATACTGTACTCGGTATCAATCAATACAAATATGTATCTTAAAAGACAAAGTTAAAACAATTACTCGATAGTAGGTGGATACATGCTTCAAATGCTTGTAAATGCGCAATAAAAGTACGTAAAATCGATGCTTCAATGTTAAACGATTGACAGGAAAGTACATGTAAGCCGGAAATTCATAAAAGTATCGTTCTTCTTGTGCAGGGTATGGAGATCCACGGCGTGCCGGAGTACGTGGTGGTCGGCGGCCGAGTCTGCGTGGACGATGGCGATATCAAGGTGGTTCACGGCTTCGGTAAATTCCTCGAGACACTGGCCTATCCGTACTACGTGTACGACAGCGTGGAGGAGCGGGAAAAGCAGCCGCGCGGAGTGGCCCGCAGCGAGGCCGATGCTCGCAAGTTCGCCGAGGAAGACGCCATTCTGACCAAAGCTCGCGAAGCCGCCAGGTTGGCCAAAGCAGCGGCTGCAGCGGTAGCCCAGAACAACGAAGCGTTGTACCAGACCAATGGGCATCACAACCACCAACAACAGCCCATGGGCGGCTGTAGGCCCGGGGCACCTTTCATCTGTCCGACCCCGACTCTTCCTAATTCAGCCATAGCCACGCCCTCGGTCAAGGGCCCGCGCCTCGAGGGACAGAGGAACCTCCAGGACTCGACCTTTTCCATCAGCGGTGCGTTTCGTTAACTCATTCAACATCCCATGGTTTTTTTCGTTTATTATCATTATTATCATTATAATTATTAACTTTTGCAGAGGATACCAAGGAGACATCGCGATCTTGCATCCGTGTCAATAACCCACCGGGTGGACGCAGTGCCGGTGGCTTCTGGTAAATCTAGCTATATCTCCACGATGTATTCACTCATACGAATTAAAATCAAACGGGACAAATGAACGAGGTGTCGAAGTGGGAGTCAGGAGAATAGAAAATGTAAAAAAAAAAAAAATAATAATAATAATTAAAAAAAAGTGCAGCCAAAAAGGAAATGTTGCAGCTAAGTATGTACGTGTAGAGAATCTCTCTCACTTTCTTTTGCGCGCGTGGACCATTGGAATGTCCTATTTCATGACGACCGCGTAGGCTTTAAGCGTCTACTTATATATATACATATACTTACACTATCGATACATATATATAAATGTTCTTGGTTGAAATCGAGAGTCTGTTTATTATTGATTGCTATGTATTTTTATTGAAAAAATATATAAATATATATCTATATGTATAATCTGATGTTGGGTGAAGAAACTCTATCTTTTTAAGCACACGAGTCAATTTTTTTTATCTCTGTTCTCTTCTTTACATTACGCGACTTTTTTTAATGTAATTTTTTTCTGCACCACGCAGTACGAAATTCACTTTTATCGACTCTGAAAGTATTACGGAATTGAAAATCATGTACTTGTTTCAACTACAAAAAAAAAGAAAAAAAAAGTCAAGTACTCTGGAAAATCAATGTTTTGATATAGATTTTGTTACGTTTGCGGTTAATCGATCAAATGTTTTCCTTTCCATAATTTTAGCAACGTGAGCGACAAATTTTAGAATACGGCTAATGCGAACAAAGTTGCATTACGTAATTGTTTATTATACACGTAGTCACAGGTATTTAGTGCGTATTATCGTTTGAAACATGATTACATTTGTAACAATTGTTATATATAAGACGCTAAACGTTACCATGAGAAAAAAAAGAAAAAAAAAAGGAAAATATATAAACACGTATATACATTAATTAAGAAATGTCTTGATAATTGTTTAATTACGTTGCATAAATGGCATTGAGCATTGAATGTAGTTTAAAAGCAAATAATCACCAGAGAATTTGTATGATGAAAAAATATATTTTCATCCGTGTCGTCTGTGCGCGTCAAGAACCAAATAATAATTATGTTAGTACACTACAATTTTTCTATGCATCGACAAAAACTTGATGCTGGCCGATATAAAATTAACATTAAAAAAAAAAAAAAAGAATAAATAAATCCAGAAAAAGAAAAATTTTGTACTATTTTGTATGCCAATATCCATTTTCTTAAATATATATTCAGTAAGCCTCTACAAAAATATACTCAAATGCCAATATGCGCCTGCCTTGTGATATTGACATATTACATATTATGTATCGTGAAAAATAAACGAAACTTGATAAAAAAAATTGATAAAAGTTTTTTTTATTGACACTTATTGGCAGTACCTCAAATATTATCATTATCATCATTTAAAAAATTATAAAAACTACCATGTGCATTACATAGTGTATCTTAATTAAAATAAATACGTACTGCGTAAATAAATACTGAAAATAATATTTTCATTCCTTACTTTCGAGCTAAGAAAATGTATACGTGACGTATTAAAAGAAAATGACTCAATAAATGACGGTGTGTTGTTTCTATTAAATAACACTGCCAGCAGTATATATAATATATCGCGACATTTTTACCTGCGTACCTACTGCCAGAATCTTTTTTCATGGACAAGTGTTTTTCGTGCTCGTGAAAGCCTCTATAAACGTTTTTTTTGTTATTCACGGTGTAGTATTGTAATTATTAAGGTAGATTTAACAAAAATAAAATAAATACCTACATCTACACGCTGGATGTAAGCAACAGACAAAGAAGCCAGTACCTAAGTAGTTCTTTTAATGAAATGTATGCAAGTGATGGTGTTCTTTTTAACTTTGATATCGTAAATAAACTGTTAATAGCAAGCACGGTAATTTCTAATTGATAATTTAGCACTGTGCAGCATCAGACACAATTAAATCGTAAACAATAACAATACCGGTTCTCCCATCGTTTGAAAAATATATAGCTATTGTACACACAAACTCCGTTATTTACAACTGCTGAGAAGGTAGAGTACTACTCTCAAGCGGTTATCGGTATATTCGGTATGAACAACAGTGCGCACTGCGCACTGCGCAGAGAAAAAAGTATAGTGGGTTTGGCGTGCAGTAACATAACCTTACATTTATACAAATGTAGTTTGTTGTGCTCGGCTCGACGACAAGACATGTCAAAATTTTTGTGATGTCGTTGTTAAAGGTTAGTTAACAAAACAACGAATTACAGACGATTCGTCGATTATTTAAAATACAGGCATTCAATTTGATTGTGCTTCGCAAATAACCAAAACTTCATCGGAATAGATGTAGACTAATCTGTTATTATTACGCCTTTCCGGATAATTTTGTGGTTTTTGGCTCATCTAGGGAATATTTTAACAAGTTTTATTTATTACTTTTTTTTTTTTTAACTTTTTAAACGCAGATATTTGGAGTTAAATTATACAAGAGGTACTCTGTCAAAAAAATTAAAACAAAAGTATCTGTTGTACTGATATCTGTTAACAAAATTTGGAGCTCTTCAACACAGTGAAAACTTTTTCATCTAATTTTCCACGTCTCTCCTCAATATTTAGTTTTATCCTAACTATGAAAAAAAAAAAAAAAAAAAAAAAAAAAAAAAAAAAAAAAAAGTATTGGTTTTATCATTTTTTTATACTTTTGTGATGCAGAGTCAATTTACTTTTGAAGAAGCATGGCCATGTATGCGTCCAATTATTTTAAAACTTTTGAAGCAAGAGCCAGTCACTCAAGCAGAATGGCAAGACTTGTTTTATTCCGTCCATCAGGCATGCTTGGACGAAAAAGGCTCACCCAAGTTAAGAGATGCTTTGAAGGAAGATATTATGGACTTTATCAAACAAGCTCAAAAAGTATTTAAATTCGATATTTTTCAAAATATAAGCATTGCATGTGCAAATCTACAATTTACTACCGCTTACTAATTCTAGAGGGTAATGGCTCATCAAGAAGAGCAGGCTTTATTAAAAGCCTACATAGTGGAGTGGAGTAAGTTTTTTACACAGTGCAATTACTTGCCAACTCCGTTTAGACAGTTGGAGGCATCACTCAAAGGAAAAACGAACTCTTGCATACACAAGAAAAACCAATCAAATGATGAGAGTATCGTTAGAAAGGTTTGTATTATTTTGTGTTTCTTAGCTATGAATTGTAATCTAATTTCATATTTCTTGACAGTTGATGCTCGACAGTTGGAATCAAAGCATATTTAGCGAAATTAAACAAAGGCTTCAAGATTCTGCAATGAGGCTAGTAAGATCAGAGAGAAATGGACAAGTGTTTGATTCTCAACTTGTAATCGGTGTTCGAGAGTCGTACGGTACGGTTTATCAGTTTTGTTTTTAATCATGCCGTGAAAGAATTTATTTTTTAATTTTAAATATTTTACAGTGAATCTTTGCTCTAATCCTACTGACAGATTAAAAATATATAGAGAGAATTTCGAAGCTGCGTACATAGATGAAACTGAAGCTTTTTACATGTTCAAAGCTCCTGAGCAGCTTCAAACACAGGGAGTGGAAAAATACATGAAATACGCTGAGCAGAAATTAAAGGAAGAGGAAATTCGTGCACAAAAATACCTCGAGCCAAACAGCGCTAGCGTGCAATTGCTAATGGAACGTTGCGTGAAGGTTCTGGTTGCCAACTTCAAGAGTGCGATTCTTGCAGAGTGCCCAAGGATGATACAACAGCATGAGACAGAAAGTAAGTAACTTTGGGCTAAATTATTTCTCCTCGAGTTGATTCATCTTAAAACAAATGTTTTAGAATTACGACTAATGCTGAAATTGATGGACCGAGTTACGGAAGGTGTGACGCCGATGCTCCTCGATCTTGAAGAGCACATAGCTACAGCAGGTCTCGACGACATGATGGCAGCTGTAGACATAATAACGCAGGACTCTGAAAAATACGTAGAAAGATTACTCGATTTGTTCCGGCGCTTCTCTGCTCTTGTCAAAGAAGCCTTTGATGATGATCCTCGCTTTCTTACCTCGCGCGATAAAGCTTATAAGCTCGTTGTCAATGATTCGTCTGTCTTCAAACTCGAACTTCCCGCCAGGCAAAATGTCGCTGGCAATCTTGTGCTACCTACTCCCCCGTCTACTACAGCACCAGGTCTACGAGCTGTAGGAAGTGTGAATAGCAGCTGTACGATCAAGCCCCTAAACAACAACCAAAACGGGCAACCAGAGTCCAAATGTCCCGAGCTCCTTGCCAATTACTGTGATATGCTACTGAGAAAAACGCCGCTCAGCAAAAAACTCACATCAGACGAAATAGAGAGCAAGCTCCGAGATGTGGTAAGCATAGCGAGAGTCGTCCCTATTTTGTCATATTTACGCACAACTAATAGTATTAATTTTAAACTTAGCTATTGGTACTGAAGTACGTTCAGAACAAGGATGTGTTTATGCGTTATCACAAAGCGCACTTGACGCGACGCTTGATACTCGATACGTCTGCCGATTCGGAAAAAGAGGAAAATATGGTCGAGTGGTTGCGAGAAGTCGGTATGCCAGCGGATTACGTCAACAAATTGGCTCGAATGTTTCAGGATATTAAAGTCTCACAAGACTTGAATCAAATGTTCAAGGAACAGTGCCGAGCTACCATTGCCGACAGTATCAATATCAAAGTGAGTCATTTTCAGGCAATACCGTGGTCGGTTTTGAGTAAAGTTTTTTTTTTTTCCTTACAGATACTGAATGCTGGAGCCTGGGCGAGAGGCAGTGAACGCGTTACAGTCAGTTTACCACTCCAGCTCGAGGATTACATACCCGAGGTGGAAGAATTTTATAAGAAAAAACATAGCGGTCGAAAGCTGCAGTGGTATCATCACATGTCCAATGGCACGGTAAGTATATTTTGCAATCTCTACAGCGAATATAGAATTTTTTTCTGCAAAATGAAACAATTTTCACAGATAACGTTTTCAAACCAAGTGGGCCGGTTCGATGTTGACGTGACGACATTCCAGATGGCTGTGCTGTTTGCCTGGAATCAACGACCCCTGGAAAAAATTTCTTATGAAAATCTTCGTTTAGCGACAGAGTTGCCGGACCCGGAACTGAGGCGAACTTTGTGGTCGCTCTGCGCTTTTCCTAAAATCAAGCGCCAGCTCATCATCGTGGATCCTATAGCCCACAGCCCTAAGGACTTTTCGCAAGCCACAAAATTTTGGATCAATCAGGAATTTGCACTAATGTGAGTTCATTTACAGTTTCAGTGTTCATCAGATTTTTAAAATCATTTCGACCATTTTTTGTATTTTTACACACTCACAGAAAAAATGGAAAATTGCAAAAACGTGGAAAGATTAACTTGATAGGTCGGCTACAATTGTCCACCGAACGAAGCAAAGAAGAAGATAATCAGTCTATTGTACAACTCAGGATATTACGTGTACAGGTGAGTTCATTTCGTAAAAATTTAATTACAAATGTCACGTTTTATTTCACGTTTGTGTGTATGTTTACAGGAAGCAATAATAAAAATTCTAAAAATGAGAAAAAAGATCACAAACACTCAATTGCAATCAGAACTTATAGATATTTTGAAGAATATGTTTCTGCCAAGTAAAAAAATGATCAAGGAACAAATAGAGTGGCTCATCGAACAAAAATATATTAGGAGGCATGATAATGATATAAACACGTTTGTATACATGGCATAACGATAATTATGCACGGAAATTATTCGAGCCTGTCGGTAACTGACCACGACTCCAATGACATACTATATTTTTGTAATGATGCAAGTTGCGTTTTTTGAACTCCCCACTCAGTAAATCTTTCCGACATGATTTTAAGACTAACGCTGTAGAAGGAATAGACTGGGTCGTTGACTGAATTGTCAAGACGGCTTTGAAATTTCCGAAAGGAAAAAAAGTACAAGGAACTTCAAGAGCATTGTACATGCATTCATAAAAATAGTATTAATAATAGTTTTACTAAATTTTAAGACGCTAAATTAGTTGTTGCGTTATTTTTTGTCAATGGCTCCTTGCGCTTTATTTTCTGTGATTTTTTTCAAATGACCGCTACAAGTCTTGTTTTTATGATGGTACCTTTTTGTAAGGTACAATAATATAAACTGTGACAAATGCTACGTTGCAACTAATTCTAATATTTGCTTTAAGCACGTCCGTAAAAAATTGAATACTTTGAAGCTTTCTATTTTATATCATTTTTTGTCAAGACAATGATTTTTTTGTGTTCTGACTGTACTTGGCTCTGATAGCATTAGAATGGATTGTCAACTTATCTGTTAATAATCTTCCTAAACAAAGAGTAGATAACGATAAAACTGTATAAAGCATTTGTAATATTTAAGCGTTGAAACCATAGTATTGTAAGAGTTTGAAAAATGAAAGCATTTGGATTAAATAAAAAAAAAAATCTTTTCCAATCACGTTGATTGCATTTGTGATAGCCCTTGCTCACATTTTTTTCTCAGGAAGATTGATTGCTTGGCGTGAAATCATCTGAAAACTAAAGTGTAAATGATTGACGTATTTTTTTATTAACAACATATCCACCTATCCCATACAATTTTTTGTTTTTAAATAATCATCTGATCAATGAAAAACAATTCTCACTTAATTTTTTTTTAATACAGTGCCAGATCAAGTACGTTAATCTCGCACTCAGCTGCACGGTGGGCTAAAAAATCGCTGTACCCTATGTTGTAAAAAGGAAAGATGAGAAAAGTATAGATTTGTTTTCTTTTATTTCCTTACTTTTGTAATCTTATGCATTTTTTTCGAATACGTACATTTACATATATACACATATTCACAAATAATGATATACATCCATACCCTATCATTATACTGCCAACATCTTTTTTTATAACTTTTTTTTTTCTCCAAGTCTATACTTTTAAGTGGATATCACATGTAATTACTGTAGCCAAAAAGCTTCATAGTGGCGGTTGATTGCCATATCTCAGAATTATACTTATTTTTGACGCGTTATTTTGTATAATTTTATATATTTGACGGTCAGACATTTTTTAAGCTTTTTTGGTAATACAGCAATCAATTTCGGTGAAATACATTTTTCTGGGTTAATGGCATTCACAATTACCGTAAAAAAAAAAAAATTTGAAAAAAAAAAAAAAAAAATATGGGTCATATTGACAAAAAGTTAACATTTCCAAAATTATGAACGGCTATTTATAAATATATACACTTTTTGTTAATATACATGCACATCGATGTTGGTAAATTTTAACTTTTTTCAACACTAACGAACGATCAGACACTGAAAGATTTTTAATCATTGATATTTGAAAAACGACCACATTACATATAACAACTTTAATCAAGTTAGTTCTATTTAATAAAATGTTTATCGAATTTGATCGTTTTTATCTTTTTTCAGCTATCAATCTATATAAGCTATGCCCGTCGACGTATGATCGTTTATAATCTGTATAGGCGTAAAGTATGTACATAAAATAATCTTTATTTTATTTAATTTACGAAAATTCAGAGTACAGCAGCAACACAGTCTCTACGTTTTCGTTTTGGCTTGAAACACACTAAATCAAGTAACAAATTAAATAAAGGGTCAATAATGTGCTCCAGAACTTTTTTAGCCATTTGCTAACTCATCTTCGCTTCAATTCCTATAAGTAATATATTATGCCACTACAAAGTAATTTTGTAAGTGTCAATTTGTAGTCTTAACTATCCTTTAGGCAGCCATTTTGTATTCCAACTTTTATCCTAATGAAAAAGCCATTATTTCTCGATAAAAGATTGCTGTGAAATACTTGATTTTTAACGAGAAAATAAACATGCCATGAATGGCTACGAGTTTTTCCAAAGTGATAAAGTTTAATGCAACGTTGATGCCAAAACAATACTGTATAAACTTTGATTTAATCAATTAAATAGTGCAACGGCTCAAATGATAGCTGATGAATTGATGTAATGTACACTGCTCTCGTCATTTATTAAACTTCTTTAATTTTAATTAACGTAATGCCTTCAATTCACTTCAACTGATAAAAATAAGCTTGAACAATTCAAAACTCACATTTATTTTAGATTTACCAATTGATTAAACTTGAATCATGGGACTTTATTAACGACCTCGAGAATTCGTCATGCATCACTCAGAGTTTACACCAAGAGGCTGCTGGCCAGTAATGCTGGCTGCATGCAAAAACGTTTTTAACATTATTAAAATTTTGTAACACTTAAGCCTATCTGTCAAATTTTTTTAACATATTCTAACCTTTGGATGGATGAATTGTTCGTTTTTTATTTAGAGTAAGCTGCTGTAACGCATACTGTTTGATAGTTTTATTTTTACTTGGAATTTTTTGGTTACGATTTTCGTTATTTATACTGATACCGGTTCAATGTATATAAGTATTAAAAAATTCCATTCAAGACGGTGGCGACACAATGTACAAAAAATTGTATCTCGCAAAGCACGATGTAATGGGGAAAAAAAAAAAATTTACAGCAATTAGAAAAAAGGAATATCCACCGTTGATTTTTGTTTCATTAGTCTGGACAGCGAGTGTGAGGGATGCGACCTGCTTTTTCCACAGAGCTAACATTTTCACAGATATGCACGACGATGCCTGGTTGGTTAGTACTACCTGGATGGAGCTCGTGACTTTCTCCTGCATATTAAAATATCAATTATAAAAAACAAAAATGAGTTTCCACATTAATTTCAGAAAGAGCGAGATAAATCAAATCAAATCAAACAACAGTACTAACCAGGAGTCAAGTTGGCGATAGCAGCTAACAAATCATGATTTACAAGAGGTTCGTTCTCTTCTCTAGGCTCCCAACCAAGAGGAGGAGACGCAGGTGGAGATATCAAAAACTGTTTGTGAGGTGCGGGTGGTTGCAAGAATTGGTCTTCTATGTCTGCAAAAGTAGTCATTCTAGTAAAATATCATTTGGTGATAGAAAAAAAATAAAAACTATGACTTATTGTACATACCAATAGGTGTAACAGGCTGGGCAAAGTAACAATTGATATCAGTTTCACCAAAACGAGTCTGATGAAGCTGTATCCTTGCCTGGGCTGCTGCACTTGGAGAACTGTAATTGACACGCATTCTCCTAAACGACCTAAAGTACTGAAACGTAGCATCTTGGCCAAATTGATTAAACAACTTCTCAATGTCTTCCTGTAAAGAATTAATAACTAATTTTATCGATATACATGCCACGACAAGTACAAAGATAAAATTTTGACTGTTTACCTTGAGATCGTCTGATTTGAAAACACGAGGATCAACATTTGTAACAATAACGGAAGTGGGTAAATCCTCGTCATTAATTAAGTCTTCCAATGATCGTGAAGCTACATCCTGACGGTTTTCATTTTTCGTGCAATTCAATTCAAGTTCTTTAAAGTTGGGATGCACATTTGGCAAACCATCCACTTCGTTGATGATAATGTTTTCCTCCGATTCTTCATATTGTATATTATTATCTTTTTCCATGACGATGTTTCAAATTTTATCGAAAAACTGTCGAAAATAATAAAAAAATAATAACCATTAAAGTCCTTACTCAACAAAATGGTAAATACTATATAATCAGGTTAGCTACAAACACACGAACATACACGAGCTGTAGATAAACATGAAATTAGAGGAGCAAGTGGTAACAAATGTATACTAGTCATATAATCAGAGATACCATAAACAATCAAACAAACAGGTTATCACGATATCACAAAGTTTTCGTCAAGTAAATAAATACAACGTACAAGACAACAGCGACAGTCCAAGTATACTTACATTATTATGTGCGAGAGACAAGACCGTGATTTGGTGTAGGTAATAACTTGTAAAATTTATTGTGAGTTTGTAACGTAAACTCGCCTGTTGAAAAAGCAGCTATATCTATATTACAAAGGTCGTAAGTGTTTGTTGCAGAGTTTAGGCTTCGTTACTGTTGCTACTGCATGTTTTCTTGTTTGCAACAGCGAAGCTCTGAATTTCACCACATTCGAACTAAAGTCCTTTTCCATCAAGACACAACCATTATGCACTAAACGACTCGTCCTCGTCAGTCCGTCCCCCTCGACCCTCGACCTCGTCGTCGCAATCGGTTGGTCTCGCGCACACTACACCACGAATAATATGATGTTATGTTACACTTATTTTGTCTTTTAATTTTCCGAATTTTTTTTTTTAGAAAAGCGATCTAAATAATATCTCAGTACCCAAGTTTTCAACTTTAGTTGTCCTGCCTCCTGGTAGTCCTGATGTATTTTCCTGATGTAAGTAGTATAGGTAAGTTATAGTAAGTACTGCAGTATCCATAAGGTTTATTCGGACATGAAGATTACGACCGGTTCAATTGCATGACGTCATTGTTTCGGCGAGGTTTATATTTTGACAAAAGAGGCGGAGCGAGACTTGCAACAGTTGCCACAAGTTTGAGTCTGAGGCTGAACTGCTAAAGTGGAGAGTGTAGTTACAACGGTGTATGTGTGTACAATAAGTTAAAGTTTTCATGCAGACGTCAAACGCTCAAATCAAACGATCAACTGCGAAAACGTTGATGAACTTATTGAATAATTATAATCGGATTGTTGTACATTATTTGTTAAATATACATTAAGTGAGCATGTCGACGTCGACGATGGAAGGTTCTCTGAGCAAGTGGACGAATGTCGTCAACGGCTGGCAGTACCGATGGTTCGTACTTGATGACAATGCTGGACTGCTTTCGTACTACACCGTGAGTTACACATTTTTTTGTCTTGACACTTTTTATGCCCCAGCAGGTATAAGTTTACAAATTGCGAGCTTGGGTTTAGGTTAATCTTAGATAAAGCTTATCTCTTCTCACTTTTTCTCTCTGTTTATGTATGTGTGTTTACAATTTGATTTTGCATATTTTTGTTAATTTGTTTCACAACTTGGAAACTTATATTAAGAAGGTGTAGCAAAAAATTACAAGTATAAAGTAAAATTAGATTTTCAAATCTGATAATTTTTTTTATTATTATTTTTAGATGTAAAGGGAATCCATCAGATTCTTTACTACATTCAGCTATTTACATTCAACAATGTAGACTGCATACATACACACCTACTATGTACACTTAACGTTTTATTCAATGATTCAAATCAAGTGTAAAAGCCCATTGTTCATATCTGTGTGTCTGTGTGTAATTTGGCGATATTTAAAGATAATTAAAACATACATTTTTTTCCAAGTTTTTCTTTGATATTGTTTAATTTTTTAAAATTGTTCATGCAAAAGTTCGTCAGGTAACTATGCAAAGTGGCTATCACAAATCATAAGCATATTTTTTTTTGTTTACAATTCAAATGTAATTGACAGTCGGATTTGTATGAATATTGACGCGTTTAGCTCTTCTTTGGCTTGACTGGTTTTTTGTAGTTTTGTATGTAGAAATTGAAAAATAGAGTAAAGTTTATCACAAGATTAGCAAACATAACCAACACGCCCCATCTTGGTACATGGCAGTATGGGAAGAAACCTTGGACTGTATGTGCCAGCAGAATAAAGAATTGCACCTGTGGGGTCAACGAAATGCATAAACATAGTAGAAAACTGTAATGGTACTTACTGCGATGTAAAAAAAAAAAAAGTAGTGAAAAATACTCACCATTTGTATGATAGTGATGTATGGCTTGATTGGATTAATAATTTTCTGTACTTTTGGTCCCTGGCTGCTCAGGAGGTAGTAAGTGTACATAATCACGTGAACAGTTGAATTTAGGACGATTGGGAAAGTAACCATGCCACCAGGATAATGTTTAACCGATATATGAGTGACGGCAATTGTCGAGGCATGATGGTACAAGTGAAGGAACGAAATTTGTCTATTTTTTTTCCTCAGTACAAATATCACCGTCTCAATCAGGTCTATCACTTTCAACATAAACGTCCAATAGATAACTTTGGCCAGCTGAAAACACGATTTGAAGTTTATTATTAGTTTCTCACACATTTTCAGACACGTAAAAGTTTTCCGAAATTATAATGATAATCATACCGTTACGAAACTTTGAGAAAATGTAAAAAACAACGGGCTACTTTTCAGTAGCCAGCCGATTAAAAAGCGAAAAAAAAACAAAAAACAACTCGCGTTACGCGTCCTATGTAAATAAGTAGGCTTGTATTATTATTATTATTATTATATGATTGAAAACCCAAAGTTTAAAGCTCGTTACCTCCATGGGGTTGCCGGTCGGGGATTTGTTGACAAACTCGCATCCAAGACTGATTTCGTGAAACAGGCCGTACTTGATGCACGCGTAGATAATCCAGGCGTTGTAAATGATTTGAAATATGTTGTAATATTTGATGAAAGTTTTGAAACTGTACGGTCGCCGTTTCTCCATGAACCTCGGGCCGCATCGCTTGACAAAGTACAGATACGAGGCGAGTATTGTCCACACGAGCCATTGGTGTTTCACGGGCCACCAATCTATTGTCCTTTCGTCTGCAAAATACATCGAAATGTATTTTTTACTCGTAACAAAAAAAAATTATTTCTCCCACTTCGTCGGGCTATCGGTATCATCGTTAAGAGTTACAAAACACCCGAGAACAAAGTAAGGGGGGGTAGGGGAAAAAAATAGTGAAATGGTCACTTTGGCCACTCGGTACAACATATTATATCAATTGATTAGTTGGCCTGCACCGCGTCTTTACCGTATTCCGTTTCCCAAAAGCTGTCGTAAAAATACTTGACGATATCCATTTTGCACGGCAGATGATCGGACAAGTGAAAAATAAAAAGTTGGATAAATCGTGATGTTTCGGCGGGGGTGCTCTGCCTGCGAACACAATGGACCGTTGAAAGCCCAAAAGGCTTGCGGGCAATGTGTCCACTGCAGCTTTGCACCTCGATAGTTTGCGAGTGACTGGCCGATCGGCGCTGAAAAATCGTTAGTTCTTTGGACTATACGCTTTGTTCATACTTATTCATAGGGTCTCTCTTTCTGTTCTCGTTGGCCTGCATTCTTCAGGGAAGTCGAGGCTCGTCGTTACCTCGCCAAGTACCTCATACTTGCTTGCTTAATTCGTGACGGAGGAAAGGAGAAAAAAAAAAAAAAAAATACAACGAGCTTTTTCGTGAACAGTGCAGCTTTTCCACGTGGGGGAAAAGCACGCATGCGCGGGAAAAATTTGAATCGGATTTACATCTAATTTTTCTCTCTCTTCGGTGGCTCGTCAAAGTGCACTGTCACGGGGGGGACACGGCCACTAGTTGATCGACAACCTTACTATCCCCCTCCCCCCCCGCGTTAACTGCTTATTGTGTATATACATGTTTGCACTATACGTGATTTAAACAATTTCACACGAGCCAGCTTGTAGGAATAACTTTTAACCTAAAACAACCAAACTCCCCGTGTTTTTCCCCCCTTTTATTTATTGTCTGATTTAATACACCTTTTTTTTTATTGTTATCAAACCGGAAATTTTTACATGAGCTTATTCTATCTCTCATGTGATTGATACGTTACAACATAATTATATTGTTGTTGTTGAAAAAACTCGATCAGAAAGTGATCCGTGTGCGTAAGTAATAGATATTGGGTGTTATTGTACCGTAGAATCGCCGTATCACCAAACCGTCGTGGTTAACCATGCAAATATTGCGCCTCGACACCTGTTGCGCGTATACACTTACAAGCACGGGATATCACACAATCGCCATGCAAGTCTAATACGAGCGAACTCTGACTCTTGACTCGATAAGTAGCCCATCTACCTGCCTGCCTACCTGTGCTTAGTGGGACTCGAAAATGTATGCTAAATCAAGGTTTTGCTGTGCAAATCAGTATTTTTGCTGCTAATCGCGTTTAAGTGTGTACGTGTTGAAAAGTTTTTTTTTTTTTTTTTTTTTTCCATATCTTTCTCGATTTTCATCATACCGCGTGCGCCCCGTGCAATGGCCATTCGTTTTCTTTCTTTCCTTTCTATCACCACGGATATGCGTTGCCGAAAAATGTTTTTGAAAAGCCAAACCGTGATAATAGTGAGCTTCAACTTGGAAATCAATCGATCTGACATTTTAATTTTCTTCGGTAACATCCTGTCGACGTTGGCTATCCGCGTTCGTAAAAATGCTAATTCAACCTTGTCACCTTTGCATATTCCGTCATTTTTTCACATCAAGTCCAACGTAGACGATTTCTTGAAGTAGCTTTAATTATTTGGGTTACGTTACTCACAAAAGTAATCCATGTATACGATTGTCGAGGGTCAATGAATAGTTTCAAAGGCAGACCATTTTTTTCCTCTTGAAATAAACACCATACCTGTATAATAGTAAGTAATCGAAACGACATTTTTTTTTTTTTTCCTCTTGTCGCAGAGCAAAGAGAAGATGATGCGGGGCGCGAGGCGGGGTTGCGTGAGGCTTAAGGGCGCGATAATCGGCATCGACGACGAGGACGACAGTACGTTCACCATCACCACCTCCTCGAGCAAAGATGACCCCAAGACGTTCCACTTTCAAACGAGAAACGGCGAGGAACGCGAACGGTGGGTCCGTGCCCTCGAGGACACGATACTTCGACACTCGCACTCGGTAAGTTTTTCATCATAGTTTCATGTATATATAACCTATATGTATAGTCACCACCGCTGCTTTACTATTATCATTTTACCCAAGTAAAAGAGAAGTTACTTTTACGAAAATCCACGATTTATATACATATGCGTACTTACCGATCAAGTAGTGAGAAATCGGTTCGATCTTTGCCTATGAAAATATAAACTTCTGCAAATAGAAAAAAACAAAAAAAAAGAAAAAAACAATTTACATCGTTTATCGATATAAAATAAAGTTATATTATAAGAAAGAAATGAAAAAGGATCGACTAAGCCCGTGCTTATATCGAGCCGAATCGCATGGGGCTAACGGTATTTCCAATACATTCAAAATAGCGAGAAAAACCGGTCCAAGTTAAGCGTATTGTACCTTAACTTGTTAAAATGTAAAATTCCATGGTAAAATTACCACTAGAACAACTAGAAGAAAATTATAAAGTAAAAAGTATGGGGAGAGGTGTAAAAATGTTGAGTTCAAGCTCGAAGCTGAAAGTTAGTTGGATGAAGGTGAAAGCAAGGTATATTGTTGCTTCAGTGCTGGGATCCGCGAAAACCACCCCCGAAACAGGACTTTGACCGCAAGGTGGCAGAGGCCGACGTGTACCTGCAGCTCCTGATAGACCAGATAAAGAAGATCGAGCAGCGCCAGCGGGACCTCGAGGAGATGCAGCAAGAGGAGGAAGAAGAACAATCCGCGGAGTCGGATGCGAACACAAAGAGCCAACGCTTTGCGAGCATACTCAGGCAGGCCAACGCCATGCTAAACTCGGTCAAGCACGCCATTGTCCATCTTCAGATAGCCAAGGCACGTGTGCACCCACAACTCGTATTCTTTTTCACATACATGTCTCTCTTTGTTTCGGCTAGACGTTATTTCATATACGTGTGGCCCATAAGTACTTACTGACGCGTAGGATTTTAAAAATTTTTATAT